AAGCAGTGGTATCAACGCAGAGTACTGATTAAGTCTGTAGATAAACTTCTGAAAGTTCTGACGCAGATATGTGTCAGCGTCTTTAAGATAATAGCCATTAGCTACATCGTTCTTCCAGAAATAATACGCCCAAATCAGCACATTAGGCATACCAACAGCGCCAGACTGACGATTGGACAGAAAACTTACGAACTCGATAACATCATCGAAGTAAGTGGTCAGATGCTTAGGGGGCTGACTATTATAGCTGTTAAGGAAGAACAGACCTTCAGTTGCAAGACGAGTGAAATCATTTGCCCAACAATAAGGGAAGTAACTTGCGGTGGCGCTGTCATTGAGATATAGACCCTTACTGAACTCCTGTTCAAGCCACTGCTTTGCAGTTCTCAGACCCCACTTCTTCTTAATCTCAAGAAAAATCTTGTTGAGACCAAAGAGCTTATCTTCGCTCTTGCCCTTTTCGGTCATAAAAGAACGAATATCTCTGTGGCTTGCGTTTGCGTTGGGGTCGATAGTGGTGTCTGCCATAGTATCGTTCTCAACAAACTTATCAAGAAAATCACTAAAGTCAAGCTGAGAAGGGTGCACACCATTGATGTACTCAAAATCCTCCCCGTACTTCTTTTTGAGGTCTTCAAGACATCGTTCAAAGTCTTTGGTAAGTTTAAGTGTTATCTCCATCTATATCCTCCTGAGCATTAATCCACTTCACAGCATTTGCAAAGTCCATACATTCACCATCTACTTCAAAAACGGGTAGAAAATCAAACCCCTTATCAATCATAATGTTTACATCATCAATGACGCCATAAGGTATGTTCTTCTGCTTAAGTTTCTGTTCAAGCACATTGCATTTGGGGCAATGTGTAGAATAAAGTATATTCATCTTATTCCTCCTTTAATTTGTGTTAAATATATTTCCAATAAAATCCACCAGATTTAATATGACGCCTTATGGCACGAGATATATTAGAGGCAGGTCTTTTTATAGCCTCGGCTCCTTCTTTAACGGTTGCATAAGTATCAATAATGTCATAATTATCACTGAGTTTCGCAACGGGCTTATACATTTTGTTAACTCTTTTGACTGGTGGTTGGTCATCGAAAGTCCACAAAAATCCATAAGATGAGATTCTATCTCCTTTAGCGCATCTTATTAAGTCTTGATGCGGAAAACCATATGTATTTTCTACATCTCTCGCACTTCGCCATTGTGCAATAAAATTTCCATCCAAATCCCATTGATATAAAGCAATCCCTTTAATTAAACCGCTACCTTCTTCGCCGCCCATTGTTAAATTATATCCATTGTTATAGGTGCCATAATATTTTATCCAATACTGTTCTCGTTTACCAAGTATCTCATCATTTATGTTGTCTTCAATAATTTCTATAGTGAAATTATCTTTGCCATATTTATTGATTGCTCGGTCTATATATTGATTGGCGGTTGGAGACGCCCTATAAATATGCTCTTCCCAACGCGCCTTAATATTACGAGTTGTTAGTCCAATATAAGATTTTTGGTTTGTAAGATTAGTAATTTTATATATTAACCCCATCTGTTGTCTTACCAAGCCTATTAAAATTATACCAACCAATCAGACCGTTAACCATGAAGATAACTTTCATTGCAAACACAGTAATACTACCAGTAGGAGTTGCGAGAGCAAGACCAAATGTAAGGGCAGAGACCACATTATTTACACTCCACAAAGCCCAGTTAAGGCTAATACCATAGAGACCAAGTATCATGGCATACAGAGTGCAAGTAGTATTCAGACTATCAAACAGAGAATAGTTGCCATTAAGCAGTTTACTCAGTCCAAACAGAGCAACCCATACAATAGCCGCACTCATAAGAGTAATAATTGACTTCTTCTTAGTCATATTACGAGGTTTGATATTGTGCTTGCCCCAATAGATGAATGAGTAAATGTAGATGGGTATCAAAATGATATTCTGAAGTGCATCAAGCATAATTCTATTCTTTAGACAGATAATAGTGTAAAGACTTACATATATAACACCAAGCAGAAACGAGCCTCGTGTGCCTGTAGAATAAACTGATACATAAAACATACCAACTGCACCAATAAGAACATTAATCCAACTGTCTCCACTAATAATGCCGAGCAGAGTAATAGCAAGTGTGGAACATATAATCCACATCTTCTGACCAAAAGTAATTGAAGTCCACCAATTCTTTATATTGTTAATCATTATTTATTAGTCCTTTCTTTATTTACGATTATTAAATACTTTCAAATGACAAATAGCATCCTCGATGTTATTCACTAACACGCCACCCTGCTTAATCAGTCCTGTAACATAGAGGTTCTGATAGCTATACTGCTGTTCACCAATCTCCTTAACCATAGCTTTATCTTTAGCTTCGCTATGAGTAAGATATGCCTGACGATTATCTGTGCAAATGCCAATAATAATCTTATCATCTCCACGAGCAATCTTCTCGTGGAACTTGCCAATCTCGGCACAAGTGCCACTCGGCAGAACATCGCCATCAATACAAGCAACAAGTACATCTGTTTCATCGAGCCTTGCATTATCACCATCGGCAATCATATAACTTGTAGCACACTTCTTTTTACCTTCTTCCCCATTAAGTTCAGTATTCTCAATGGGAGAATAAAGGTCTACATCGGGAATTGCTTCCCTAATCTTTTTTGCCCATTCAGTATTACGGAGAACATCACCATAATAAAAAATAGAGCCAGCTAAATAAACTTTCATAACATCACTCCTTAAAGTCTTCTATATTAAAATTATAACAAGTGTTATCTATCATCATATTGCACGATATCTTACGACTATCCACACCATACTGCAATATCCTATATGGGTCATTGCCGTTGTAATAATCATATCTTATGTCGTGCTCCGCGCACCAATGCAAAGCGTCAGACAATGCATCACCTGTGCGACAAGTGTTGAGTACAATAACAACATCGAGGTCTTGAATTGACCTTATGAAGTTACAAATAGGCGCAACCTCATCTCCCAAGCTTGGATAATTAGAGTCGCACAGTGTGCCATCGAAATCTAACGCCAAACAATAGCTAACGGGAGGTGAAGTTGCATAATATTCTTTAAGAATTTTAATGAATTTTTCTCTGTTCATACTAATTATCCTTTGTGAGCTGAAGATATACATCAACATTTGGTTTGACGCCCTTAACACGATAACTTCTTGATATGGTCATCCAACCAAATGTTTTACGCATCTTGCGTTCCCATCTGTGTATCTTAATCATTAGTAGCCACTTAAATCTACTCACGCAATAATGTCCCTTAGCAATGCACTCGTCTTGTGCTTCAAGTTGTTTACGACACCCTCCAACATATGGTACCATCGCACTACGACTATACCATTGATGGTTGGATTTGTCTTTTGTAATGACGCTGTGGAGATAGTGCATATCGCTAATGTGCACTGTAAACATACATATGCGTCTCCTTTCATTGTAGTTTTGTGTGCGCTAATGCGCTATGGGGCACAACCTCCCTTTAAGATACACATATTATACCACACTTTTATCAATTTGTCAAGAGGTTTTTTAACCAAGTATCTCTCATTTGAGTTTCTTCTATCTTGATGGCTTCATTAATAGTCGGCGCCGAGCCAATCTCAATCAGTTCTGTTTGTGCTCTTGTTGTTGCAACATAGAGTAAGTTTCTATTCAACATCTTTGAGTGTTGAGGATGCGTTACAACAATAACCGCTTTAGCTTGTGAGCCTTGACAACGATGAATCGATATAGCATAAGCCAACAGAAGATTATGTAACTCATTAGGCGCATAAACGACCTCAACATCATCAAACTGCACAAACACATTCTTGTTGAGGTCTATATCTGTAATAATACCAATATCACCATTCATAACAGCGGTCTTAGGAAATGTTTGAGGGATAAAGTCTTCGTCTAAGCTCCCTAATCTATCTTCTTCAGCAACCCACTTTTCATAATCGAACTTCTCTCTTGAGGTGGCGTCGTAGTTGTTGTGAGTATTAATAACCATATCATTAATATGGAACTTTGCATACTTATGACCAACCTCAAAGTCTGAAGGGTTGTATTTGTTCTGTATCATCTCATTGATTTTTCTTGTGCCGAAGTTGCCCTTATTAAACGGCGACAGTATCATTATATCTCTTTTGTCATATCTTGTAAGTAGTTCGCTATAAACTTCATCTATTTGCTCTAAGGGGTTGCTTATCGGCAAGAAACGGTAGTCTTTCTCCACACAATCAAACTGAACTTTGCCGTCATCGGCAACATATTCCACACCATTGCGAATGTTGGTTGTTGTTGTGGCGATGCCACTTGTACCAAAGCGGAAGACTTTTGTAAGTGTTACATTAGGCACGATGCCGCTGTTAACAATGTCCGTCAGCACATTTCCACACCCAATAGACGGCAACTGTGCGGGGTCGCAGACCATAATCAATCTGTGGTCGTCTCTCAGTTTATCACACACCATAGACATAACATCAAGCGACACCATAGAAAACTCATCAATGATGATAACATCTTCGGTGAAGTTGCCCATACAGTTTAACACGGCTGAATGAATGGTTGTTGCGTGTTGATTGGTGGCTTGTGAGAGCACCTTAGATGCGATGCCTGTGGGGGCAAGCAGACGCACTGAGAGGTTGTTGGCTATGAGCATATCAACGATTGCTTTGGTTGTGTAGCTCTTGCCGCAATTGCCAGTTATAAAGATACAATTGTTATTCCTAAGCACCAACATATGAGAAGGAACGGTAAAACAATATTTATAGCCGTCATTTGTGGGTACTTTATAAACTTGTGTTTTCGTATGGTCAAGACGGTTGTTGCTACATAATCCAACCAAAGTTTTATCTGTTACACCAACACTATATTCAACACTTTTGGAGATATACTCTTTTCCGTTAACAATACGCTTGCGACCACGCCTATCAGTAATAGATATTGTCGCTCTTTTACCAATAGCAGAAAAGGCAAATTGAACAAAGTCAGCGGACTCTTTAATGGTGGTTGAAAATCTTTGCCTTTTAACTTTACCTACGGGAGAATAGTTGGTTGAGCCATCCCATCTCATAACTTCATCACAAACAATTTCTAATTGATGATGATTACAGCCGTACCAATACTTTGAGAACACCTTTTCTCTGCGAGGCACAGTCACATGAAAATCTGTATATCCTTCTGTTGCACTTTGGTGTTCAACAAATTCACATCCAGCGTTATTAAACAGCTCTCTAAGTCGTTCTTTTTTATGCTCTTTTTTGATATGAAAACGACAACGGGTGCTTGTTGGATTATTCTTTTGAAAACTACCATCTGCCATCACTGCAACCATAACACGAATTTCATCGTCTGTTAAATCTATACCTTTGCCATCGTAATTAAATGAAGTCATAAACCGACCTGTGAAGCCACTCTTTGCAGAGTCCTGCTTTTCAATAATTTCGGCAATGTTGGTATGATGTATAACTCCTTTTGGAGATTTATATACGATATCGTGTTGGTCACAAACGGTCTGAGAGACCCCGTATTTAGTCTCAAAATGATATAGTTTATTACAAGGGAACTTCCAATATCTATATGGTTCTACTAAGGTTGCGGTGCCGTCTAAATTATATTGTAACACATAGTCGTCATATCTGTAATCTCGAATTTTTTTCCATCCATAACCATTAAAAAATTCAGTATCTCCATCAACACATCCAGCACCGCCCATAAGCAAACTTACACTATTTTTATTGACAATATCCAATATACTCAACTGCTCTTTGGTCAATTTACACTCATTGAGTGTATTTATATACCCCTCAACATCAAGCCCTAATTCGCTCGAATTATCAATTAAAGTACGCAGTTTTTCAGCAACAGCGACTTCTTTATTGTAAGTGTCTATCTTCGAGATATACTTCGTCTCTTTGTCAAAATATATCCTCTCACTCTCATTAACCGTCTCAACGGCAATGTCTAACAGCTCACGAGGAATGTATTTCACACACTGATTAGCGTTAATTCGTGTACTGCCGTCAATCTCAACACTGTCGAGTACATCAAGAATGGCAAACTCGCAGCGTTCTTTGGAATGTTTCATAGCGGGGAACTTAGAGCAAATAAAATCATCAACAGCCTCAAAGTCGCGCTGAAGAGCGCCTACAAACACAACATAAGGATGCTCCTTGATGGTTGACGCTATGATGTTTATGTCTTGATAGACAGAATTGAGCTTGCGACACTCTTCAAGTGAAAAGTTATACTCTTTCAGAGAGTTTTGAATAGATATCAACTTATAGTTGCCGATAATCAACTGTGCATAAAGGTCGCACTTATATCTGCCGACATTGTAGATTTTATCAATCGGTATCTCATCAACTCGACCATCAAGAACATACTGCACGAACTGCGGGAAATCTCGCATAATATATTCGGTCTGTTGTTTTGTTGTGATGGAGAGAAGAATATTTCGGCTGTCGGCTTCTGTGAGGTTAGAGATGTTAATCTCTATGCTTTCAGCGAGTTCGTATGTTTTACCGTATTTGTTCTCTTCAACAAGCGTTAGCTCGGCATCGTATTCTGCTCCGAGTAAGAGATGGGAGAGGTTGCCTTTAAGAGAAAAAGAATCAAACTCTCCCACAGTATGGCATCGGAAGATGCGATAAGGGTTATCGGTTGGTGTTTTGGGGTAAACTTGGCGGTCAAGTACGAACTTTATAGGTCATCATCCTTCGGTATGATTTTGATGTTTGAGCAAGCGCCATCTGTAATGGCAACAAGCTGAATATCACAAGGCAGAAGTATTAACCCCGCTTGTCCCGCCCGATAAAGATTGTATTGCATCTTAGCTCTTTCGTCTTCTGTCATATCGTTAAGCGACTGTAAAATAACCATTAATCGTGCCTCCACATAATATATTTATCAGTACATAGTTTAAAACATATGGCGTTTTTAGTGAAAACCTTCGTTATTATTACTTCATCGAGATTAGACCAAGTACCGTCTTGATATGCTATGGTAATATCATTCACAACAACTCCCAATTTGCCTTTTGCCTCAATAAACATACCAACTTTCAGTTCGGGCATAGGTTCTTGATGTTTTGCTTCAAGCCAACGCGTGGCACAACATCTGCAATCCATATCGTCTGCATCGTCATTATCACACACAGTACACCAAGGGGTTATCTTGTGGTCAAACCAATAATCTATGAACGCTTCAGCGCCCATTTCATTGATATTTTTCTTAATCCATTCTAAATTAGTCATCGTTTTCTCCTTTCAATTCAATATATCATTTATCCATCTCATTTGTTCTTCGGTAAAATCTTTTTGTCCTCTTATATACTTTTCCCTTAAGTTCCAATAACATATCTCAAGGTACTCATCATTGTGTTCTTTGAACATCTTATCACTTCGATAATTGAGGTTATAATCAAAATTATCAGACCCATAGAAATAATCTAAAAAGTGCTGATAAGATTTTTCTGATATCTTATAGTTGCGCCGCTTCATCTCGTCAATGACAAGTCGTGTATAGTTGAGTAGAGACTCTTTGTCATCGTATACATAATTGATGAGTATGTGATTAGGCTGATTAACAAAAATACTATTTAGTTCGCGCCATTGAGCAAGAAGCTGTGAACGAGGTAGATGTGGTACAAGTTTGTAGTGCCAAAGTCTCATTTAATCCATTCCTTCCCAACAGTCTGTATCGTTATCAACCATAATTCTTTCAAGGCGATTGAATATCATTTTCATAGAGTCGCTATACACACTATACCCATCTCGTCTGATGCAATCGTCATATTTCGCACAGCCACAACAAGGATGATAATAGAAATATTCACGAAATCCCATATCAAAAGGGTTGTTAGTCATTTAATTCTCTCCTTTCAGTGTTTCATAAGGATTAAGAATTTCTAAACTTTCAGTCCACATAATGTTTCACCTCAATAAATATCTGCCGTAATCATTTCGCAATTATCAGGCAATCGTGTGATTGACAGAATATCTTCGTCTTCTACTAAAATTTTTTCATCAACCAAATCACACCAATCGTCTGCCATATAAATATGTGTTTGATGTTTGGTCACTACAAGATATGTCTTCATACAACATCTCCCTTTCTAATGACCGCAACCTTATAACCTAACAACTCTAACATCTCAAAGTACAACTGTCTGCGCCAAGTGAGACCGCTACGAGCAAACATAATTATTTCGTTCATACTATATCCTCCTCGCTCTTAAATCTCTTCATAATGCATTTAAAACCCTTAAGGTTACCATATGTATATCCTTTACGGGACAACACCTTATAATAAGCGTCTCTGCGCCTATTATCGAGCCAAGTACAATAGATAATAACATCGCCCCACTGCTGATAGTATTCAACAGTTGCTTGTTCAAGAAGATTAAAACATCTTCGAGCCACAAGAGCTGTTTTGATAGGATTGAGACCCGTCATTTTAACATGAGCTTCGTTAGATTTGATGTGTTTGCGCTTATTGTAAAGCGTCATGTAGACATTAATGTAAGTGGTGTCTGATGTATAATAAACCTCTTGAAACTCCATATGAAGCGTTTGGTTATCTATTGGGGCGTTGATGTGATAACCGTCACCATCTTTGTTCCATTCACAAACGAAGTCACTCATACTTCTTTCCTTGCTCTACATTAAATTTATACCAAGTATAATATATAGGTTCGTCATTGCTGTTTACGCCCACATATTCTTTCTTAGCTTCAATCAGAAGATTAGCCTTAATTAATTTTGTGGCTTGAGTACGGCTTATCGAGGGATTGCCATAGCTCCATCTATTAGTATGAATTTTTTGAGTCATTAAAATATAGGCTGCGCCATTATATAACACAACATCGTTATTGGTGATATCAAACTCTCTGCGCCCAATCTGCATCTTCATAAACAATTTCTCCTTTCTTAGTGTCTTGTAGTCCAATGTGTAGCCATTATACCAACGCATTGAGGATAACTACAGATTTCGGCTCCGAAGCGTTTCGTACAGACATAAAAAACATTGTTCCAACCTATTCGTGTATCATTATCAATATGGAGCAGTCTAATATCTGAAGTATCAAATAAATTATCCCAAGACATTACTATATATTTGAATAATTCCCCATAATTATCGAACACCTTGCTTTCTCGTAGGCTGTCATTTAAGCTACCTCGATGTGGTCTATAAATAATCATACTATTAGAAACTCCTCCTTTCCTTTAGTGTCTTTATTATACCACATAAATCCACTTTTGTCAAGTATAGATTTAAGAGAGGTGCAAACCTCTCTTAAATCTTAGTCCACCCATCAAGTATCGTTTCAACTCCGTCAGTATACCACTTACCATCAGCGTCTTTTCTCTTTTTGTCTTTTGTCCTCAAGGCAATCTTCAGAGCGTCACCACTCTCAACGGGAAACAGTTCAAACCACTTCTTGTTGGCTTTGAACTGTTTTGTGTTCCCGCTTGCGAGACAATAAAGAGTAACAAAGTGTGTGCCGTATTTATTTTTCTCTGTGTTAACAACAAGACAATAAGGCGACGATTTGTCGCGTATATCGGTGTAGCCAAGGAGTTTAACTTGGTAAGCAGCTTGCTCTGCCGTTGTTGTTGTGAGGTCGCAAGTGGTGAAGAGGTCTTTGATGATGGCGAGGTTGTTAATACCTTTAAGTTGTTTGGCTGTTTCTTTCTCGGAGTACTTACGAACAACGGCAAGTTCATCGTCTGTTAGTTTATCTTTATTGATGTTCTTGCAGTTGTTATACTTATTAAACAACTCAACGGCATAAAGTAATTGGTTGATGTTACCGAACTCTTGGAAGAAGTTGAGTTTGATGAGGATGTCAATATCTGTCTTGTTTAGGTTGGTTTTCTTTTTAATGACATATAACAAATCAATAAAATCATCAAACTTTTCTTGTCCAAGTTCATAGAGTTGCTGAGGAACAACCTTAGAGATGTTCTTAATGCTTGCCATTGTTTGTATGATTTGATTGTTTTCTTTGTCAATGGAAAACTCTCTATTGTCATCTCCGAAGGCAAGAGGCTTCATCGAAAATCCACGCTCGTACATTTCTTTCTTAATGGCGGCAACTTTATCTTTTTCGCCTTTATCTGTATATCTCTGCAATACACACTTGTAAAACTCCATAGGATAATATGCTTTAAGATAGGCAATCGTTACACTATCAATCGCCATACAAAAGGCGTGAGCGCTATTGAAACCATATGCGGCTGCGTCTTCTATGATTTTCCACACCTTATCTGCAAGTTCGTGAGCCTGTGCCTCATCATCCGTTTCACCTGTATCGAGAATAGCCTTAGCAAAGTTGGTAATGAAACGAGGTTTGGCATCTTTTATAATGTAGTCTTTCTTCTTACTGATAGCTTTGATGATGGTATAAGTCTCAGACATCGGGAAGCCAGCAAATCCAAGAACACGCATTAATGACTCTTGATATAAGAGAAAAGAACTATCGCAGTATTCGTCTTGCAGAAGGTTATCAAGCGCTTTAACACCATAGTCGAAGTGTTGTCTTGACTCAAAGGTTTTATACATTGACTGGAACGAAGGTCTAATACCCGCTATAAACTGTGTTAGTTCGTAGATGTTTTGCGGCTTATACTTCATCACCTTTTGAGTTGATTTAGGCTGCTCGCACTGATTAACGCACATTGTGTAGCCATTAGCATAGATATCCCATACCTTTTTATCTCCATCAATCTTTGCCATCAGCTCGTTAACTGTATATGGTTCAATGCCGACTTCTTTGTAGATGTCATAGGTAAGACCAATAGAGTCAACAATAAGATAGTCTTGCTTGAGATAGCCAAAAGAGTCGATGGTGCCAGATTCTATAACAGCGGTTAAGACTTCTCTTTTTGTTGCTTCTGACTTACAGAGAATAATACCTACATCCGATTCAACATCACCATTATAAGTTAAACATCCACAAGGATGTCCTTTGATATTATCGATGATGCCCATGTACTTTTGACAACCCTCTATTAACTCCCCATAAGTCTCTTTATCCACATAATGATATATATCAATACTATTTTTCTCATCGTCTTCGGCGTGTTTTAGTGCCTGTTCATAATTAGAGATGCCTTTAGATACCTCATTGGCTATTTGAGGGTCAAGATTATGTGCTCTTGCATACATTTTAAAAGCTGATTTATAATGCAATGTACCAAGAGCGATTAAGTCATAAGTGCTTAACTCACCGAGTAATTCTCTCTGCGCCTGAATAAACGGCTCTCTATCCGATACATTATTGTCTATATCGGGTGGAGTATGCGACTCTAAGACACGAGTGGATGTGAGAAAACGCTCAGGGTACATAAGAACAGGGGAGTTGATTCTATCGACTTTGGTAAGCCTCAACAACTTGTTAATATACATACTAACAGCAGAACCACGCCCAGTAGGAGTTAAGATGCCACCATATTTCTCTTGCCCAAGCTTCATAACTTCATACGACAAAATAAAATAATCAGCCATACCACAAGCAATAATCTCATCAATGTCGTGTTTGATTTCATCTATATACTCTTGGAATTTCGCTTTGTTGATGTCTTTATATTGCGCCTTCCATTCGTCTCTAAGTATCTGCTTAAAAACTTCATTGCGCTCGTCTTGCGAGAGGTGCTGATATTTCTTAATAACAGGCACTTTAAGACTTCTATCAAGCTGAATATCTTCAAAATCAAGTATTTTATTAGTGTTTTGAAGTGCCGTCTCTATCTGCTCGTCAGTAAGCACACCTTGTTCTTGCAGTCTCTGAACAGCAACTTCATAAGACGGGCAATCCATATACCATCCATCTTCGTCTTCATAGCTAATGCCACCACTTAGCAGTAACTCGTCTCTATCCTTGGCTTGATTCTCGTAGATGTAGTGTGAGTCTGCACCAAAGATGATAGGAATGTTGTATGCTTCTGATAGGTCTATAATATGACGATTTATTTCTCTCTGCTTGTCGGTATTATGCGCTTGTACTTCAAGGTAAAAGTCGGTGAAGTGCTCGTTGAATTGAAGTACGATGTCGTCAACATCGTCATATTTATTCCAAAAAGCAACACAAGCAGTAGTAACAAAAACATCATCTTTAGGAAGTCCTAAAAGAAGCTCTAAGTCAAGTCTTGGGCGATAGTAAAAGCCATCTTTGTTGGCAATTGACAGCGCTTTGTTGATAGCTTTGCGCCCATTATCATTCTTTGCAAGTAGAACGATATGACAATTAGACTTGTCGCTTTCGTGACGGTCTTTAACCCAATACGCTTCAGTTCCAAAAATAAACTTTATGTTGGTGCCGTTCTTTTTGTTGAACTTTTCTATGTCGTCATAGATGCGAAAATAAGGTGACTGCCAACCGTGTTGTACTGTTGAAAAAATCTGAGGGCAATCCAAAGACTTGTAGTATTCAAGGTAGTCATTGACTGTAACAGGACTATCTTTGAGATAGATGTTTGAGTTGCTATCGTGTTTATGGTAATTCTGATAATACTTATCCATCAAACTCCCACCTATCTCTGTCACTGCACCAATCACACACCCAAGTCTGTCCTTTGTGCTTGCAGTTTTCGCAGTTTCTCATCTTTTTACACTGTCCTTCTAAGTCTTCATATTGTTCCCATAGGCGCTCAAGCATACTTGCAACATAAGTAACATTCATAGGGTGATGTTCCCATACTTTTGCGATATCTTGCTTAGTTAATAGAGTTTCGTTCAAAATTTCACCCCCTTGACCTTATCAGGCACACAGTAATATATTATCTTGCAATAAGTATCAAACTTTCCCTTATGATACCGCACAACCTTCAAGTCACCATCTTCTGTTAATCCAAAAAGTTTAACTCTTTCTGGTGGCGTGTTGTCGGGATATTTTGTCCAAGTCATATTATACCTCCTTTAAGATAATATAATTATACCACATTTCACTCCATTTGTCAATAGCTAAAGAGTAAAATGTGGTATTTTTTAACTTAATTTTATCTTGCGGTATAAATCTTCTGCTTCTGTGGATGCAGAACCGTATTGCATCTTTGTGTGATGGTCGAAAAACCTATCGGTGCCATTGAGGTGATGTTCACAAAAGGCTTGAGCAGAAGCAAAACTTGTGGCGTTTCGTATAAATCCACCTATAAAGTAATGCTCATATCCATCGTAAACGCCGTCTTCATTGAAGTCTTCAATATACTCAAAGCCACCACTCTGCAAAATTATGTGCTCATCGCACAAGAAGCCCCACTCAATGTTGTTTGTCAGCTTATCGCACAGCCATACAAAATCCTTGTCTTTAATCTTCATCTTTAAGTCCTTTCACAATGAAAAATATTGCGGCTCCAACCCAAATCACACCAGAAATAATAAGTCCACCAGTCATTTAGTCACCTCACCACAAATCATCAAATTCTATCTTATGAGCTTCGCTCACTTCAACTTTATCAATTATCGCTTGTCTGTATCTGTTTCCGTTCCACTCGTTCCAACAAGGCTTCGCAATAATATCATAATTATATTCCTTATCTTCACCAATATGCAACGATTCTTTCTGCTTCGCACTCACAAAGAACTTCAACAGACTAATGCCATCAATTTGGAGCTTAATGGTCGCCCCTCTCAGTGCTTGCCAATCAGAGCCACAACACTTCACCCGACAATGTATGGTTGGCTCAGGTAGGTCGTTAGTCCAAAGGTGTTGATTTTTATCGTGTAAATCACACAGTTTATCGCTTAATTCCGAGGGTTTGATTGAGGTAATAACTTTATACTCCGAACACTCAGAAAGGTCAAGACGGTCTAAATAGCGTGTTATTTTATCGAGGTTTTGAACATCAAAACCAATACCAAAGGCTGCCGAATGTCCGTTGCAGATACTAAAGAGTTTTGTGTTGGCTAACTGCTCTCTAATGTTGATAGGAGAACGGCACGAACCGAAATATTTGCCCTTAGTTTCTCTAACAACAAATGCGGGTTTGAGGTACTGCGACTGAAGTTTTGCCGCAAGCAAACCACTCTTACCCGAATTATCTTCGGTAAACATAACAACTAAATTTTTGCTCTCTTTAACATCGCCATCTTCTATCAGCGCCTTAACTTGGTCGTCTTGCTGACGCTTTTCTCTTTTGCAAGCATCAAGAACCTTTGAAAAGTCATCACTTTCACCAATAAAACAGTTGAAAAGTTGCTCTTTAAGCGACTGATTGTCGGAGCGACACACGGCATTGAGTATGTTGATGACCTTAAAGGACAGATTGACAGGGATAACATTTCCATCTGTTATAAGATTGTCGCAAAGATACTCGAAGAAGGGATTGGCGATGTTATTTAACCCTTTATGTACATAAGCTCTGTTCTCGTAGTTTAACATACTACACACATCAGATATAATACTAAGAGCCACTAAATCATAAAACTGTTCTGCCGTATTTGTTCCTCTCTGCTTATCAACATACTGAACGAACTTGTGAGTAACACCAGCACCAGACAGCGCCTTGTTGTTAGCGCCATATTGGTTATTTATGGTTACAATGCCATCGTGTTCAACTTTAAGTTCGTGGTGGTCAAGCACAAGACACCTGATGTTGTGTGCTGCGAGTTTACGAGCCATATTAATATCATTGGCACTTGCATCGGGAATGACTATAAAACTGTTGTCTTCCATCTGAGACAGTATCTCATCTGTTATGCCGTGAGATTTGTCAGAATGAAAGAGGGTTGTTATGGGTTTATCGGTTAGTGTCTTAAGGTAACGATAGGCGATTGTTGCGGAGCAGATACCGTCAACATCTAATCGCAGTCCTGAAGAAGATAAATTTTAGACTGCATTATTATCACCTTCTTTCAGTTTCTCTAACTTATCCATCGTTTCATCCCAAAAGAAGGGGTCGAGTTCAAAGCTTGATACATCTACAGTTATATCTGCCTTGCCCACTGTGGAGCCAATAGGTATAAGTTCTTCAAAATGGTCTTTTTTGCCCAACATACAGTTCCTTACGGCTATTGGATGCAGACAACAATTATAGTGCATACCGTTTTCGCTCATCACGGGCACACAACAATTTAAACATCTATCACACTTCATTAAGAGCCTCCATCAACATTTCATAACCCTCAGCCACGCCACTATAATTCCCAACATCCTCAAAGCACTCATCTGTTGGGTTGAGATAAAGTTCAACATCTTCGATGCCGTTGAGACAAAGATACTCAGAGATGGTTGTTGTGAGGTTGCCTATTTCTTTAATTTTCATTGTTACACCTCTGGAAGAACCACGCCAGAAACTCCTTCGTTCCTTCGAGAAAGAATATAATCAAATACTTCTTGTGTTCGGTATTTATCTTTATAAATCCCAATACAAATGTTGCTCATCTCCGAGTAGCATCGTATTTCTCTGCCTTCAATGCTTAGCCAAATGATATTTTCCCAATTCACAATAGTCTGTTTGTCTTGACTTACAATAATCATTCAATAACCACCCTATCAATCTCATTGAAATTAACTTTCATAAGCTCATCAAATATTTCTTTTGCCCTCTGCCCATCGCCGTAGTCAATCATTAAAATCTTGCCGTTCTTGCAATTTAATGAAATAACACTTTCATCAATTGATACGCCATCAATTTCATTGATATTTACAACAGCAACAGAGTTCTCAATGCCATCGTCTTCAAACTTTACAATCATTCAAAAAACTCCCTTCGTTCATACATTTCATCAAAATATTCTTTACTTCCATCACACACATTATCTTTATAACCTAACTTCAGGTCTTTGTCATACATAATGCTCACCTTACAAAAGCCCTTAAACTTATCAGCTAACGCACACATCTTCTCTTCCCACTGATAATACTCTTCAGTGTCATATTCCTCGAAGTCCCTATCGGCTATGAGTATAACTTCGTTGACGCCTAAAAAAACTATGTAATCTCTATTGTATTTGCTCAAAGTGCTACCGAACATAGCAAGGCTCGGATTATTGTTCACTCCAAGCCACTCAGCGAGTTTTAGAACCGACTTTTCAGCTTCTGCTAAGTAACATACTCTCTGTCGCCTAATGGCGTCTTCGTTCATCCAAGAGCCATACATAATCATATTAGTAGGAAACTTATATGTCGTACCGTCAAGAAGCGATGTCGGTATGTACTTAGCTTCGCTGTCGGGTAAGATGTTTCTTGACCTTATGCCCACAAGATTACGATGATTGTCGTAGACAGGGATTATGATGCTTTGAGTGCGCTCATACCATCGGATATCAAACGCTTCCAAAGTTTTTACTGAAAGTCCGAAAGAAATCCAACTTTCGTGATACTTTTTATCAAAAAAAGATAAAATGTTTTCATCATACACCCTCAAATCATCATAATCTGTGTGGCGCTTGATGTATCTCTTCAAGTCTTTCTGCCAATTATAAGCGGTCAATTGACGCTTTTCATAAACCTCGCTGTCGATATGAAGTATATCACAGATAAAATTCAGAGCATCAACGAAGTTGCAGTCCTTGATGTGTTGAACCAAAGCAATGATATCACCTTGCCACGAGCAAGAATAACACAAAAGAAGATTGGTGTCTATGTAATAGTAGAGCTTTGGTTTGTGGTTTGGGGCGTCTTCTCTGTGGTGGCAGATTGAGTCAAAAATAAGTTCGGTGTCACTTTCTTTTCGACATTCAGCACCAAGAGATGAGAGGATGGATATAATATCATTGGGGGTCAAAGAATTTTTCAATTGTGTTACATTTATCATAATTTGACCCCCAATCTTATAAATTTGTAACTCCTTACATCATCTTATATTATACCACAACTCGCATCGCTTGTCAAGTATTTTCTTGTGTTATTCGTACCGAATATTAGAAATAAATCTTCGTGCCACTATTCGTGGCAACAACACGACTTGTTCTGTTTGCTTTGCTTAAAGCGCCCTTCAGTTCATTAGCAAACTCAACCTTTTCATCTTGGTTGCTATGTACTAAATAAAGTTTATTATAAGGCACCGTTGTATAGTAATCAATCAACTCATCGTGGCACATATGGCTCGACATACTGTTCAGCGACACTATCTTAGCGTTATTCTTCACGCTCACGCCATCAACAACAAGATATTTTTTATCGCCCATCTTGATGTCATAAGCAAGAGTTCCCTCGCCGCTATAACCACAGAACATAACTGTACTCTTGGGGTCTGATAGCATATGCTGTAACCAACCTAAAGCACGACCAGCGGTCAGCATACCACTTGATGCAAGCACGATACAAGGTTTACCACTTTCTTGATGCATAAAGCTGTCGGCATAATCATCAAGCCACTTTGTATCAGACCAATGATATACTTCATCCCACAACTCTTCATCAACTACAAGATTATTGCCCCACTCTTTAGCTATCTTAGCGCCCAAGGGCGTGTCAACTATGATGGGTAGCGGCGACATACCATTAAATGTCTTGTAGAGAAGCGTCAGAATAAGTTCCAACCTATCAAACGCAAATACAGGGATAAGCACTCTGCCGTTGTTTTCTTTAGCTTCATTAATGACGCTTATCATCTTGTGGATGTCATTAACTCGGTCTTTAGGCTTGTGATTGCGTCGTGCAGACGCATAAGTACACTCACCAATCAACACATCACAGAACGGCAACGGCTGAAAGTCTTCAAGGTAAAAGTGCTTGAGATTAGGGCTGCCGATGTCGCCAGTGTAGCCTATGCGTTTAGTAACCATACCATCTGTAAGAGTTAGTCTAATTTGCGATGCATTGAGTACATGATGTGCTGAGTAGAAAGAGAAAGAAATATTCTTGTTGAACTTCACCTCTTCACCATACTCAACCTCTTTAAGAAATGTCATCATATAGTCAACATCGTCAGTTGTGTAGAGTGGTGTGGCGTTGATTTTGTGCTTGTTGCACAACACCTCGGCATCGTGCGCCATAATCTTAGCACTATCATAAAGCATCTGTCTGATAATCTCTCGGCAACCACTCTTAGCATAAATCGGCGCCTTACAACCTTGCTTATACAGCCACGGCAAGCGCCCCGTGTGGTCGATGTGGTTGAGGTGCGAGATGAGGATAAGGTCAATCTCTTTAGGCTTGACGCCCTTCGGCATCGTGTGGTTGTCTCGGTAGTCTTGAATGATGTTGTTCCTCTGCACAAGACCGAAGTCCATAAGAATAGAATAGTCTCTGTATCGTATATGATAACAACTACCCGTAACTTCGTTGGAAGAATAACCACAAAAGTCTATGTAACTTCTCTTTATCTGCTTACTCATAATCCTCCTCTGTCGGCACAGCAAAACCCATAGGCTGCTTAGGCGGCTCCATACCATTGGCAATAGCATCGCACTCAGCTTGCATTTCTTGTGATGTAACTATGTGGGAGTTCTGAATGACTTGTAGGTAACTCATAACTGTTTCTGTCGCCTTGCAAGCTATCGGCATAACAACTTCGTAGAATAAGGCGCCGAGAACAAACGCTGTTAGTCTGTCTTTAATCATCTTCTTCCTCCTCATCGTCTTCCGTAACGATAAAAAATTCAAGAAATTCGTCTAAAAGGTCGGTCATATATTATCCTTTCTGTGTTGTTAGAATTATCTTCTGCATAGGATAAGGTTCATCGTCATCATAATAAAATTCGCCAAACAGTTCTTTAGCTTTAAGTTTGTATGCCTTTGATGCTTCTTCGATAGTTTTATAACTGCCTAAATGCAAATGCTTACCATTGTATGTAAGTTGCGCTTCGTATGAATGTGTTTGCTTATTATAGTAAACCCCTTTTACGCCACTTGTATTATGACTTCTTTTCTTGACATATCGGTTATTTTCTTGCTTTGTGCACAAGCGTAAATTGTTTTTGCGATTGTCTAAAGGGTTAAAATTGATGTGGTCTACACACTCGTCTGATTGTGCGTCTAAAACTAACCGATGTAAATACAACTTGTTACGACTGTTTTGCACATAACCGTTACCTCCTACGCTCCAAACATATTGTTTAATTTTATCGTAATCTTCTAAATCAAACAAAAACTGTTTGCCACTTTTTGTTGTACAAACGCCATAGTCGCCACTTAAATCGTATTTGTTACAGCGCCCACAACTTTGGGTGTGTCCATTCTTCAAATATCTTGTTCTAACAACTTTGACGCTTCCACATTCGCAACGACATAGACATTGTTTTTCTCTGTAGTTTTTTGGCGTAACATAATCTTCGGCAAAGCCTATAACTGTTAGTCTGCCAAATGTCAGCCCTCTTAAATCTTCGGTTGTTGTTGTGTTCAAATCACATCATCCTTTACCATCGGAATATTCAATAATAAGTTTCTCCACTTCAATTGGGTTGTTATCTCTATCGGTAACACATATATCTTTTGTTCTACCCGTAGCCAAGTCAAGATATTGATAGACTTTAATGTACTTACCATACTTATTGGCACGACCTTTAACTATATGTAACACAACATTAGGTTTTACATGGTCAACACCAAACTTCTTCTCAGTGTAAAACAAGTCCACATATTCCATCTCAATCTTTGTGATGGGCATCATAATAGCGCAACCATCAACTTTGCGTACCTGACCCTTGCCACCCATAAGCAACGACTCGTTGACATATTTTATCTCGTTGTCTCTTGCGTTAAGCTGAGTGCCAGAGAGTATGCCAACATTATATTTGCGACTGAGTTGTTTGAGAGCGTCGGTCTCCGCAAGGAGTATCATATCTTCACGCTGACTGACTTTGGTTTGCTTTGAGACCTCTGCTTGAATAAACGGTTGCGAGGCAACATAGTCAAAAGCAACAACTTTAACGCCTTTATTTAATGCGTAGTCGCCTATGGTGGCTGAGAGTGATTTGATGGTAAAGTTGGGGTCGTCAACAAAATAAATCTCACTATCATACAGCACTTCAATGGCGTGATTTATTCGTTCTTCTTCGCCTTCAGCATAATAGCCATCCATATAATGCGACCTACTTACATCGGCTATCCAAGCAAGAGCAATTGGTTCAAGTTCTTTTTCAAGCTCCATCTCTGTATTGATAAACAATCCAGCGCCGACACGAGATTTATTCTTAACCCATTTACCTTTGTCGGAGTCGTAATATTCGGTAACACACATCTTACAAAGGTCGCCTACGGCATAAGCCGTCTTGCCCGAACCTGAATTGCCCGACCTCAATACAAAACCATAAAGTCCTCTAAAGATTGCATTGAGATAAGGTGACTGAAAGCTTGCACCAAAAAGCGGTGTTTCTTTGAATTGCTCTTTAGTTATCTTTGCATTAGAACCAGCACGATATTCTTCAAGGCGTTGGTTGGCGTGATAATGTTTTGCTATGATGGAACACTTGCCCTCAAAGTGCGATGCAATATCTTCTATTGTTAATTCGTTGAGACTGTCGGTTTCCTCATCATAAATCTCCGACACATCGAAGCCACTATCTCTGTACGCTCTAAGCATCGAAAGTTTTCTAACTACATCATAATAATAAGCAAAGTCCTCTTCGCCACCAAGTTCTTTAACTGTAAGTATATAATCAAGATAATTGCTATCCTCAAGCACCTGTAACTGCTTCGGATAGGACTTTAAGAACTCGCCAACATCAGACCCTTTAATTTCTGTAACACCACTCAGAGCCAACTCACGAGCCACCACAAAGAGTATCATATGAAAGCGGTTGCCGTCTTTGGTTTTCTTATTGTAGAAATCATCTTTGGTTAGAGGATATTTGTCTTCGAGTAAAAGTTTAGGTGAGTTGAATATTGCTCCCAAAAGAAAATTAGCAGCATTATTATCATAAAGCACTTAATCACCTTCTCTAATATGTATAAAATTGCAATGGCTACCGTAGTCAATGACGGTTAAATCTTCGTGTGTGGATATGCGATAATAGTAAGGCTCACAGTTAAGTACCTCTTTAATAAAGGTACTATACATATGCCACGCTTCTTCATCAGATGTTACAACACCAATGAGAGTTTCCGTCTTTTTGTCTCCGTTGTAGAAGTAGATGTATTTCATTATAATTCCTCCGAGTTATATAAATAATTGCCATTGTTATCGAGGATAAAATCAATCTGACAACTACTGTATTCGTGGTCTTCATAGAACTTGACGGTAGCTTCCACGGCGTCGTTGGCATCGACAAATTCATATTTATCATAGCCGTCTTCCTCATACAAAAACAGATATCTTGTCATAACAATCTCCTCCTTTCTTTCTAAGTATCTATATTATACCACATAAAGTGTTATTTGTCAAGTTAAAATTTTAGGGGAGTGCTTACTCCCCTATTATAAATCTTCAATTATTTCTCTATGTTTTTCACACAGATTAGCGGTTTGTTTTGTACGCACACATTTTATCGGTTCATCTAAAGAAACGGCTTTGAGCTTTTTTCGTATGTTATTTTTCTTAATAAAAAACTCTTTAGCTTCTTGATAGTAAGAAACAAACTGCCCAATGCCGTATTCTTCGTTGTAAGGGCGCTCAAGTATGTTGAGATAATAATCAAGCGTCATCTCGATGCCTGAGTATTTGTATTTGTTCTCTTTAACAACCCTATCTAACTGCGCCCTCAGCATAACATAATTAGGGTTTTCGTAGAGTGAACAAAGTCGCTCAAGAAGTCGCTCTTTGTAAAATGTGTCAGAACCACAAAACTGTTGGGCGTGGTCTTCGTTACAGAAGTATTGGCGGTCTTTAAGTTTGTATGCTGAAGATTTTTCAACAAGAGCGCCACAATATTTACATTTGACTTTTGGCAACTTTGTTCACCTCGGATTAAAGATTATACTGTACTGCGTAGGTCAGCAGAGAGTTGTAAATGTTCTCAAGCTTGATGCAGTCTTCATCGGTAGTCTTGCTGACCTTAACGCCACGGAGCTGACCCTCAACAATCTCAGCCGCCTTATCAGCATTAAACTGCTGAACCTTTACAAGCAGAGGCTTAATCTCGTTCTGCCACTCCTTAGCAGTGTTGGGTTTAGTAGCTTCGTAATCGCTAATGCCACACTCTTCTCTCTCTGCTCTCTTCTGAATTGCATCAAGAAGAATCTTCTGATGTTCTTTAGCGTTGAAGTTGGGCAGACAGAAAGGAAGGTCGGAGAAACGGCTACGAGCAAAACAACTCTTGGTGCGCTTGTAGATTGCGGTTGAGAGAACTTCCTTGTCATTCTCAACATCATAGGGATTTGCCTTCAGATAAACAACAACATCTGCAAGGTCACGGATAAAACGAGCCGAAGACTTCTCGTTTCTTGACTGCTTGGGTACAAGGAACTCATACTCTTCGCCAGTAAGTTCATCGGTCATCGTAACCGCCTCTTCGTGAGACATAAAGATGATATGATAAGAGGCGCTGACGAGCTTCTGAATAGCCATAGCAATCTGAGTGCGAGAGATAACATAGCCGTTTTCCTTGCCGTTAATCTCGCTCAGAGTAGACACACCATAACGCTGAGAAACGCTGTTATCTGAGAACATAACCATCATCTCCAGCGTATCAATTCCTATGCTCTCATACTTACCTTTCATCTCATCGAGTGTCTTGGGGTCGGTAAGCTGCTTAACAACATCCATAAAGTCACCCCAACTGTTGATGTGAACAGTAGGGCAACTTACACCTCTTGCGCCCGCTTCACAAGCGATAAGCAGAGGCTTCTCCATCTTAGAGAACTGATAGGTTTTGCCGACATTATTAGACCCATACCACACTTCGACAAGTCCGTTAAGAGAACCTGTAACCTGTTCGGGCATAAGGTCAAGAAGATTAAACTTAGCCATCACACAACCTCCTTAAAACAAGTCGCCAACATCGTCATCCCAAGGCGCCTCATCTTCAACAACGGGACTCTTCATCTCAGGCTGACGAGACTTCAGACCGCCCTTCTTTGCGCCCTTCTCGGTTGCCTTTTCCTTCTTCTGCTGAATCATTGCCTCAATCATCAGCTCACGCTTCTTCTTGGCTTCCTTGATGCACTTGGGGTCGATGTAGTATTCACTCTCTTCCTCAAAGACTTCATCACCACTGAAGATGCAATACTCGGTCTTATCATAACCGCTGACGATGTTGCTCTGACGGCGACCAAAAGCCACCTTATCGTTACTCTTTGCACGACCAATATGACGGCTTACAATCTCAACACTCAGCTTGCAAGAGTCGCCAATCTCATAGGCGCCATTGAAATCATCTGCGATGTCCTTGTCAACAATGAACTCAAAGGGCAGAATGTTTTCATCCTTATCGAAAGAGCAGAAAGTAACAATCAGACGACCAGTCTCTTCATCATTGACGACTTCGGGCTTCTTAGCGCCGATAATGCCACTAATCTCGGCTTCTGCAAAGTCCTTATCGGGAACATTGCTGCGAGTGCAAGGGTTGAAACCAAGAATCTGAATGTTAGACTTA